GGGGTCCCGTGTCAGCTCCTTCGCTTCCCGATCTTCCAAGGATTGCAAGCGAGTTGGCTGTCATGGCTCAGGATGTAATACCAGCCCTGCAGGATCCTGGAGTACTCAGTAGGAAGATGTCTAGCAAACGTTTGAAACTCGCTTCTGATTGCGCATTGACAATCGGGTCCGGCAGTCGGTTCCAATCATTAGTCACTCGAGTAGAGAGAGCGACATCTGAGCGGACTTTGAGCCTCCTCGGTTTAAAAAGCTTCCAGCTGTGACCTCGAGTCGAGCTGCCAAGTCTTAGCTGAAAGAACTGCCTTAGCTCGTTTCCCAGTTCTCCTCGTAGGATGCGCCTGGTATAGATGAGGTCTCCGCGACGTCGGCGATAGTCTAAGGGAAAAAGGTTCATCCTCTGTAGGCGGGTGGGGTACGGGAGGTTGCGTAGCCCAAGGACAGATTTCGAGGCTCGTCGCTGTATTTTTTCGATCTTGTCACTTTCATGTTTAGATAAGGGGGCTATGGCCGGATGTCCGAATTCAAGAATGGGACGGATATGGGAGGTGAAGAGAAGTCTAAATATCTGCGGCGTCATTTTAGAGAATGATCTCCTTATGGCGCCCCACATCCTGTTCGCCGCAGCAGTTTTCTTTAACGTGTCAAGGGTCGTTTTGAGATCAGAGGAGATTATTGTCCCCAGGTCCTTTTCCTGTGTGGCAATCTTGAGTAGGTGCCCGCCAATGTGATAGATGCCCAGTGGTTCAGCAGCACCTATAGAAAGGACTGAGCATTTATCTTTGTTGACCGGCAAACCCCACTTGATAGACCAGGAGTGTAGTAGATCAAGCGTTTCCTGCAGTCGGTCGGCATCTTCGAGGCTGGACACTTCCGACCATAGCTTGAGATCGTCTGCATCACAATGCACTCACTGTGCAATATTAGACCTAAGGTTGTGCAAATTTCTTTGTCTAATTAAGTTAGCAAATTTACAGCATTTTGCTAACCGTATTGATAAGCATTCGAATCGGCGGCAAACGGTTGATTGCTTTTTAGCACACTAAAACACAGTTTTTAGGTTACACTAGATTAAAATGCCAGAGTCTAGAGATCAATTGTTTCACTTCAGTCTGACCAATCAACAAACGTCACCATCTTTAAAGTACCCTGCTAGAACTGCGACTACCGGGCAGCGTCTTTCTTGCAATTCGGCATCAGCAACGTTCGGTGCAGACTTCCTTGAACTGACTCTCTAAGTTCCTTTGCACCAGTTTGTGGCCTTTCCCACTAGGTATATGGACAACCAATGTGTTCTCAGTGGCGTGCCGCAAGGTTCGGTTCTTGGCCCCCTTCTCTTCACTCTATACGTTAGACCTACCTGATGAATTGGGTGTGCCATCCCTAATGTTTGCGGATGACTTAAAACTGGTTCACGATAGACGAGCCGATTGGTCCACTGACCCTACAGGAGGCTCTGGACAGACTTTGGGACTGGTCAATTTTGTGGCAGTTGCCAGTTAATTTAGGGAAATGTTCCGTTCTACGCGTTGGTCCGAATGACCCGCCGACGCGTTATTTGCTTGGAGCAACGAGGTACCGCGAGTTCAACTCCTATCTGACCTCGGTGTTTTGCTGTCATCTGACTTCGAGTCCAGTGAACACTGGAAGACAGCTGCTCGTAAAGGCTTCAACGTGTTGTGGATGATCCGCAGGTCATTCGGGATCATGACCACCGACATGTTTGTTAGACTATTTTCGGCTTTTGTAAGGCCGCACTTGGAATACTGCGTCCAGGCTTGTGCTCCGTGCCTGGTTCGTGACAAGATGGCAGTTGAACGAGTCCTGCGGTCCGGGACGAAAATGGTGTACGACTTAAAGAAGCTGACGTACCCGGAGAGGCTACGTATGTTGGATATGTTTTCCATGTATTACAGGCGGCTTCGGGGCGACTTGGTCCTTACATATCGTATATTGATGGGTCAGATTGGTCCTGATTTGACTGGACTGTTTCGCCCAACTCGAATGCCAACCCTTCATGGCCACCCATTAAAGTTGCACAAACCCCGATCTGACCGGGTTTTGGCAACTTTTAGATTATCGCGTAGGGTTATAGCTTATTGGAACACATTGCCTGCAGACGTCGTGATGGCACCGACGTTGAAAGAGTTCGATACTGATACTGATACTGATACTGTCATGATAGCGAGAAAGATGTTGAACATCTATGTAGCTATATCTCAATGTAGGACATGTCCCACTGACACAGTGTTACCTGTAGTAGTGAGCTAGCCCAGGCGAAAAAAGTAAAATATTTACAAGCATAGAAAAAATCTCCATGTACTTACCATATATTCTTGGATGAACCACATGGAGTCCTTCACCAGCTCCGCCGCCTATTACGGATGGGCATCGTTTCGGAAGCTGCAGTTGGTGGATTAACGGGCTCCATGGGTTATAATCATTGAACGATTCCTTCGTCAGTTTCCTGTGAAGGCTTCGTCGAATCTGGCATTCACAAAGTGCGCGTCCAGGAATCGTTTGAATTCCGACACCGAGTTCGCTTCTACTATCCGCGAGGGCAAACGGTTCCACATGTTCACCACTCGCCGCTCAAGACACAAGGGATGAGCTACCCACTTGAGGTCAGGGACTACCAGTTTGTACTGGTGACCTCGTGTGCTGCTTGACGCACGGACATGGAGCAGTGGCCTCAGCATCGGATAAGCACCCAGATGCAATACCCGATGGGTCATGATGAGGTCCACTCGCACGCGGCGGTAGGCTAGAGTATACAGACCCAATTGTCTGCATCTTTCTTCATACGGCACACCCTGAAGACCGGGAATGAGCCGTGTGGCTATGTGTTGTACTCTTTCGAGCTTGTGTATCTCGCCTTTCGTCAACGGACAGTAGGCAGGTGAGCCGTATTCTAGCACCGGTCGTACAATGGATGTGAAGAGACGAGTGGCAATCTCTTTCGACCAGGTGCAGAAGCTACGTTTCAGCGCCCACAGCGAACGCAATGCTGTGCGATACAGATTGTCCGTGTTGTCCAGTGACTTCATGTCGTAACGTTGTATAACGCCAAGGTCTCTGACGCAATGCGTCGGGTGTAGAACTTGGCCGTCGAGAGTGTACGATCGGCCCGCTCCACCTTTACCGAGGCACAGAAGTAGCGATTTTGCCGAGTTGATAGGCAAACTTACTTCGGCGGACCACATGGAGAGGCGGTCGAGGTCCTGCTGAAGTATGTCAAAGTCGTCCGACGTATGCATCACCCTCCATAACTTCAGGTCATCCGCGAACAAGGCACACGGCGACCGAAGGAGATTGGGCACGTCGTTGATGTGAATCAGGAAGAGAATGGGGCCAAGCACCGTCCCCTGAGGAACGCCGCTCGTCGACGGGTACCAGTCGGTCAGGTGGCTGTCGACTTGCACCCTCCACTTCCGTCCAACTAAGAAGTCACGGATCCATTGGTGCAGCGAGCCTCCGACTCCGCACTCCCTCAGTTTCTGAAGGAGGATCTCGTGATTCACTCTGTCGAAGGCCTTACTGAAATCGACGTATACCACGTCGACTGACTTACGTTGGTTTACTGCTTGCAACCATTCATGCCATGTTAGCAGCAGGTTAGTGATGCACGAGCGGCCTCTCACGAAACCATGCTGTGCAGGCGTCAGGAGAGAGTTGGTCTGCAGTTTAAAGTCTTCCCCTTCGTGTCTTAAACTTTTCTTCGTCTATTACGGCTTACGATTCTTTAACTCATTTTAACTTACATTTTAATATTGCCTAGGATATTAGATTAGCTTGTCTTCTCTGCTCTTCTTTACTGACACTACTGTTTTCTTTTATTCTTCACGTGGCCGGCACAGCAGGGACTGCTAGTGCAGGGCACGTGGGCATTGTTTGGTTGACCATATGAATCGTGTGTGTTGATTTGGCTCTCCTTTGGCACACCAAGGCACCCGTTTCCCTGTTGGATCAACGACGTTTTCGAAGGTGGAACATTCGCGGGATTTTCCTACTGTTCCGGTCCCAATTGAACTTGAACTTCAACCAAATACCATCTACTTTATATTGGGTTTTCGCTAAGTCCCTGGATTTCATGACTGGCGTTTCAAGTTCAAGTTCAAGCGGGACTGGAACGATAGGATGATCTCGTGAGTGTTCCTTCTTCGGCGGGTTGTTGAACCAGGAGTTGGCGAACTTTGAAATACTGATGGACCTAAAACAAAGACCGCATCACACCCTGTCCAACCAATTAATGCCCACTTATCCTGCCCTAGCAGTCCCTGTTGGGTCGGTTACATGAAGCAAGAAAGAGAAAAAGTAAACGCAGAAGGCAAAAGAGAAAGTGGTAAGAGCTAAGCAAGTGGAATACCAAGATATTTGAGTCATTAAAAAAGAACTGAAAAGTGAAGGTGAGTCAGCTAGGAAAAAGGAAAGGTTTGCTGTTGCCACCCAAGAGCATCGAGCTGGCGCGCAAAACCCTTAACCGTAGGTTCCCTAACCACGTGATCTGGAAGCGAATTCCAGCGATCTATAACTCGGCGCGATAGACGAGTTTCCGTCCTAATCCTATCAGACCGTGGTTTATGCAGTTTCAGTGGGTGACCGCGGAGATTAGGTAACGTAGCGGGACTAAATAGCCCTGACAAGTCCGGGCCAATCTTACCCGTCAAAATACGATAAGTGAGAATCAGGTCCCCTCTTATCCTTCGGTAGTGCATGGAGTACATCCCCAAACTGAGCAAGCGTTCAGGATACGTCTGTCCCCGTAGACCCTGCACTAACCGAGTGCCCACTCGTAACACCCTCTCCAAGTCCATTTTGTCTCGGTTAAGACATGGTGGACAAGCCTGAATACAATATTCCAGGTGGGGTCGGACGAATGCCGAAAATAGCTTCACAAACAAATTGGCCGTTAAGATTCCGAAAGAGCGGCGGATAAACCACATCATACAAAACCCTCGACAAGCAGCCTTCTTCCAGTTGTCTCCAGAATGAAGTGCTGATGCGTGTACGACTCCTAAATCCACCTGCAGAGTGACAACAGGGAGTTCACCACCGCCGACAATATTTTGGGTGGGAGGATTAGCAGCTCCGATTCGGAGAACAGAGCACTTCGCCCTATTTATGGGCATCAACCATAAGATAGACCATTCCCAGAGCCTATCCAAGACACGATGAATTGCCTCAGGACCCCCCGGGATATCCAAAAGATTCCACAGCTTAAGGTCGTCAGCAAACATTAGTGATGACACCCCTAGCTCTCCCGGCAAGTCATTTACGTAATCGCGAACAACAATGGCCCCAATACCGAGCCCTGCGGAACGCCACTAAGGACAGCTTGCCTGAGCGAAAGGCTACGCCCCAGCCGTACACACTGTTCCCTCCACTCAAGGAAGGCAGACACCCATTGAAGGGCGCGACCAGATATCCTGTAGGATCACATCTTTAGTGAGAGCCGAAGATTTGGAACAGTGTTAAAAGCTTTCGAAAAATCTACGAATAGCACGTCTACAGCGTGGCCACTGTCTACCGCTTCGGCCCAGCTTTCACGAGCTACAAGTAAGTTAGTCTCACATGAAAATCCTTTGTGGAATCCATGTTGTGCAACACTGTGAAGGTTGAATCGATTCAGGTGGTTCTCCACTGAATCCCTTATCAGCTTCTCCAACAACTTGACTACTACGCTTGTCAAACTGACAGGCCGGTAGTTCGCGGGTAGAGCGCTGTCACCGCCCTTCAAAATCGGACAGATGAACGCCTCCTTCCATTCCGAAGATAGGCTGCAGCTGTCCAGCGATATTGAAAACACGCATGTAAGAGGACCACTCAGCTCAGTGGCCGTTTCATGCAACAGCTTCGGATGAATTGAATCAGAACTGGAAGCTTTAGAGGGATTAATGCCTTGCAGTAACTCGAAGACCTGAGTCTCTGTTATCCTAAATTCATCTAAGCAATACTCCTCTGGAACTCTTGAAACTAATTCAACCTGTGATAAAGAGGTCTCCCGAGCAAAGACCGCAGTATACTGATTATTCAGTATACAAGCCTTTTCATAGCCGGTTTGAGCACGGGTCCCGTCTGCTCGCAATAAAGCTGGTATAGACAGTTTTGCCCCGCTGCGTCTTTTAACGAAAGCAAAAAACTTCTTGGGATTAGTTGCGGCCGAGTCCGCTAAACCCTGCTCGTATTGGAGACGAGCAGTTCTGAGATGTTGCTTACATTTATTTCTATTCTCTCGATAACTATCAGAGGTACTGGCTGATGGAGCTGCTTGGTAGGTTCGCCAGTATCTAAACCGTTTCTTGAGTAGGTACTTGCCTGTGGTATCTGTCCATGGAGGCTGTGCCCTTAACCCTTTTTTCCTAATGAGTGGAATATAGGGAGCTTAAACCTCCGTAAGGTATGCCTTAAATTTTTCCAAGGCTAACTGGACAGAGTCAGCCATCGAGATCATACGGTGCACCTCGGGTCCAGCGATCACGCATGCATATCCTTTCGATGTGCTCTTTCAAGGCACCAAGAGACCGCTGTTGAATTACTTCCGAATATTTGGCAGGCGGACTTTAATGCTATGCGAGCTAAGGCTTCAATTCCAAACTGTGAGATCTCGATGGCTGACTCTGTCCTGGGATAAATTTAAGGCATATCTTACGGAGGTTTCCACTCCCTATATTCCACTCATGAGGAAAAGAGGGTTAAGGGCACAGCCTCCATGGATAGGTACCACACGGAGCGTCCCATCCGCCACTTGGAAATAATGTTTTTCGGCAGTGTGATTCCGGTACACACGGTTTTAGGTTGTAGGTGGATTCTCCTGTGTCTTGGACAATTTACCATACATTCTCCCACTTCCTTCTTTTTTCCGATACATACAGTGGACTTCCATAAACCATTTTTATATTCCGTTTCCTTTTTAACAACACTGTTATATTTCAACTTTTTCACTTTTATTCAACTTCGCAATTAGGCATGGTACAGATCAGTTTTTGGATTTTTGGAGGTACTGACCTTTTTACAAACCCGTTGCGCAAGTACCTAATAAAACCCCTACTTTATGAGAACGCAGGTACAGGTTTTCCTGATGAACAACAGCCCACATTCAAAATTGCACCAGTGGCGGATGGAACGGTCCACTTTTGCTTACGTTAAAAGACGCAGCGGGGCAAAACTGTCCATACCAGCGTTATTGAGAGCAGACGGGACCCGTGCTCAAACCGGCTATGAAAAGGCTTGTATACTTAGTGATCAGTATACTGGGGCCTTTGCTCGGGAGACCTCTTTATCACAGGTTGAATTAGTTTCAAGAGTTCCAGAGGAGTATTGCTTAGATGAATTTAGGATAACAGAGACTCAGGTCTTCGAGTTACTGCAAGGCATTAATCCCTCTAAAGCTTCCAGTTCTGATTCAATTCATCCGAAGCTGTTGCATGAAACGGCCACTGAGCTGAGTGGTCCTCTTACATGCGTGTTTTCAATATCGCTGGACAGCTGCAGCCTATCTTCGGAATGGAAGGAGGCGTTCATCTGTCCGATTTTGAAGGGCGGTGACAGCGCTCTACCCGCGAACTACCGGCCTGTCAGTTTGACAAGCGTAGTAGTCAAGTTGTTGGAGAAGCTGATAAGGGATTCAGTGGAGAACCACCTGAATCGATTCAACCTTCACAGTGTTGCACAACATGGATTCCACAAAGGATTTTCATGTGAGACTAACTTACTTGTAGCTCGTGAAAGCTGGGCCGAAGCGGTAGACAGTGGCCACGCTGTAGACGTGCTATTCGTAGATTTTTCGAAAACTTTTACGACTGTTCCACATCTTTGGCTTTCACTAAATATGAGATCTTACGGGATATCTGGTCGCGCCCTTCAGTAGGTGTCTGCCTTCCGTGTGGGAAGGGAACAGTGTGTACGGCTGGGACGTTGCCTTTCGCTCAGGCAAGCTGTCCTTAGTGGCGTTCCGCAGAGCTCGGTATTGGGGCCATTGTTGTTCGCGATTACGTAAATGACTTGCCGGGAGAGCTAGGGGTGTCATCACTAATGTTTGCTGACGACCTTAAGCTGTGGAATCTTTTGGATATCCCGGGGGGTCCTGAGGCAATTCATCGTGTCTTGGATAGGCTCTGGGAATGGTCTATCTTATGGTTGATGCCCATAAATAGGGCGAAGTGCTCTGTTCTCTGAATCGGAGCGTCTAATCCCCCCACCCGATATGTTGTCGGCGTTGGTGAACTCCCTGTTGTCACTCTGCAGGTGGATTTAGGAGTCGTACACGCATCAGCACTTCATTCTGGAGACAACTGGAAGAAGGCTGCTTGTCGAGGGTTTTGTATGATGTGGTTTATCCGCCGCTCTTTCGGAATCTTAACGGCCAATTTGTTTGTGAAGCTATTTTCGGCATTCGTCCGACCCCACCTGGAATATTGTATTCAGGCTTGTCCACCATGTCTTAACCGAGACAAAATGGACTTGCAGAGGGTGTTACGAGTGGGCAAGCGGTTAGTGCAAGGTCTACGGGGACAGACGTATCCTGAACGCTTGCTCAGTTTGGGTATGTACTCCATGCACTACCGAAGGATAAGAGGGGACCTGATTCTCACTTATCGTATTTTGACGGGTAAGATTGGGCCGGACTTTTCAGGGCTTTTTAGTCCCGCTACGTTACTTAATCTCCGCGGTTACCCACTGAAACTGCATAAACCACGGTCTTATAGGAATAGGACGGAAACTCCTCTGTCGCGCCGAGTTATAGATCGCTGGAATTCGCTTCCAGATCACGTGTTTGGGGAACCTGTAGTTAAGGATTTTGCACGCCATCTCGATGCTCTTGGGTGGCAACAGCAAATTTTTCCTTTTTCCTAGCTGACTCACCTTCACTTTTCAGTTCTTTTTTAATGACTCAAATATCTTGGTATTCCACTTGCTTAGCTCTTACCACTTTCTATTTTGACTTCTGCGTTTCCGTTTTTCTCCTTCTTCACTTAACCGATCCAGCAGGGACTGCTAGGGCAGGATAAGTGGGCATTAATTGGTTGGACAGGGTGTGATGCGGTCTTTGTTTTAGGTCCATCAGTATTTCAAAGTTCGCCAACTCCTGGTTCAACAACCCGCCGAAGAAGGAACACTCACGAGATCATCCTATCGTTCCAGTCCTGCTTGAACTTGGACTTGTGTACCATAATCACACTGCCAAAAGATCATTGATCGCGATTGGCTGATCCGACGCTCCATTGTACGACTTGGCTGCTGAACTTTGCCGTCCGATTACGCATCCTGTTGTGAAGTTTTGACGAGGCTGCTCTCTACCCAAGGAATGGAGTGAAGCTACTGTTTGTCCCATTTTTAAGAAAGGTGCTAAACCTTCCTGATAACTATAGACCACTCAGTTTAACGAGCGTGCTGGTCTAGTTTTTGGAAAACCTCGTGAGGGACGCTCTCGAAGAACACTTGAAAACATTTGATTTGCTTAATCCTTCTCAACACGGCTTTCGTAAGGGCTATTCTTGCCTTAATAACTTGTTATCGGCTTGTGAACATTGGGCCGAAGCAGTTGATTGCGGGAAGGCAGTGGTCGGGCTGTTCATTGACTTTTCCAAAGCTTTTAATACCGTTCCACATTCGCTCCTTTTGTATACAATGAATTCCTATGGTATTTCTGAACCAGATTTCCGCTTTCCTAATCGGAAGCGAAATGCTTGTGCGGGTAGCTTCAAACCTGTCCTTCCGCCAATGTCTTCTCAGTTGCGTTCCGCAAGGTTCGGTCCTTGGTCCCCCTTCTCTTCACTTTATACGTTAATGACCTACCTGATGAATTGGGTTTTCCATCCCTAATGTTTGCGGATGACTTGAAACTCTGGTTCACGATAGCCGATCCGATTGGTCCAGTGACGCTACAGAGGTTACTGGACAGACTTTGGGACTGGTCAATTTTGTGACAGTTGCCAGCCACCTTTTTTCCTTAGTGAACAGTTCCACAAAGTAGCTAGGCCTGTTAAATGTACGCTGCTCAAATG